AGTGGTCCCCTTGCAGACCTGGCCCTTCCTCCATGGTGATTGTGATGACCTGGCGGGTGGGCGGCCTCAGGTTTTCCTGGTCAGGGCTGCAAGGAGCAGTGCTCCAGATGGGCAGTGTCTCCCAAGGCAGGTCCTGTCCCTGGTGGGGGCGGGTGCTGTCGGGTCCGAGCTTGCAGCCACGTCCAGGAGGCTGGGACCTGTGAATAGGGTCCCGCACCGTGCAGCCCAGGCCCTGCGGGCTCGACAGCTATGCTCCCAGCGCAGGGAGCCTGGAGGCTCCCTAAGCCCTTCCTTTCTGGTGCGTCTGCCGCAGAGCCCACTGACCCCTGCCAGGCAGGCCGCGGCCTCCCCAGGGCAGCGGAAGTGGGTTTTCATAAGAGCTCTTTAGCAAAGTGCAACTGCCACCTAAATTCCGTAAGTGTGTCTCTCCTTAGAGATCACCTGGTTTTCCAGTTTCTTTTTTTTTTGAACCTCCAATAGGTAAAAATCATAGTTTAAAAAAAATCACGTATGGAGACTCCAGCCTGTGTTTAGCGCTGCGTTTCAGTCCCAGCCAGGGCGCCCGCTGCAGGCAGCTGGGTCGTAGGGCTCGCTTTGCCTCTGCGCGGGCTGGGGCGCCCCTCCGGCATTTATAACATTGCTGTTTGTGTCCATTTTCATCATACAAGCGGGTGCGGTAGCCACACACACAAAACCATTTTAAATGAAAAAAGCCAGCTAGCAAACAAAAAACCAAACCCTTCTTTTGTCCTGGAATCAGACCCTGTGTGGGTTTCCAAGGGGTGCTGTAAATTACCACCGTGAGGGAGGCCTCGAAGTGCGTCCTGTCACCATCCTGGAGGCTGGACGTGTGAAACCAAGGAGTTGGCGGGATGCGGCACCCTCGGCACCCTCCAGGGCTCTAGGCTCGTTTCCTGTCTCTTACCGCCTCTGGCGGCCCCAGCGAGCCTGACAGACGTCCGTCTGTATGTTGCCGCCCTCCGGTGTCTCTGCCGTCACGGCGTTTCCCTCTCCTTTTAAGAACACTAGCCACTGGATGAGGGCCCACCCTGATGACCTCATCTTAACTTGGTTATTTCTGCAAAGACCCTATTTCTAAATAAGCTCACATTTACAGGTGCCGGGGTTAGGCGTTCAGCATGTTTTGGGGGAGAGGGGACAGTTCAGCCCATAACAGTCCCCACATAGTAACAGGGATGGCGTGACCGCCGCCCAGGAAGGTCCTGGCTGGCACGTGCGGTGGGCCCAGCAGCCCAGCAGCCGGGGGCGGGGGGAGAGGAAGGCCAGGGTGTCCCCTGCCCCTTCCCTTCGGTTTGTCCTACTTTTTGCTTCAGCTCTCGGATCCGATGAAACTTCTTTTTCTCCCAGTGCAGTTCCATCTTGTCATGCTTCTTGCCCATTCGGGGAGGCTGGGGCTGTTCTCCTGCTCTAGAGGAGAGAGCAAAACACAGACACCAGTGTCACCAGTGCTGGGCTTTGACTCCCATCTCACGTGGCCGGCGTGGCCAGCGGTGGCGGGTGCGCCGTGAGCTGGCCCTCCCGGAGTGGGGCTCTGCCTTCCCCTCCATCAGCTTTCCCAGCTGCCGGCAGCTCGGGGACCCCAGCGCCCTCCCACCTCACCCTCGCACTCTGACACAGGGCTTTTGCCGTATCTTAGGAAGTCAGGGTTGTTCCAGCAAATGCCCGAGACTCCCCAGGCCTGCTAGTAGGACTCACGTGGCTCAGCCTATAGTTGTGCTCACACCTGACTGGTCACAGCGGGAGGACACACAGCAAAGCCAGCTGGGGGAAGGACACAGGAGGAGAGCGCCAGCGGCAACCAGGTGCCCGCTTCTAAGAGTCCTTTCCCAGTGGGGCCGCACAGGCCGCCCCGACGTCCGCGCGGTGAGCTGTGAGTGTGTGAAGCGCCGCCCACGGGGAGGCTCCCCGGCGACTTGGGGCCCAGATGTTTACTTTTTGACAGCTGGTCACGTGGACGTCCTCTGCCTGCCAGGTACCTGAAGCCCAGACTCCCAGCACAACAGCAGGTGTTCGGCGTTACCGCTGCTGTCTGCACGACCAGTCTAGAGACGGCGAGTCATCATCAGGGCGGTGTGGAACCTTCCAGATTCAGGCTCCCCGACCCCAGGCAAAGCCAACCTCGCCAGCAGTGGTTGCTGAGGATGAAGTTAATGCTTGCAGTGTTAGCGCCTTTCCTGCACCCGCGGTCGGGGAACTTTGTCAGAGGAAAGACTACAGAAAACTGCTCAGCGCAGCTCAGCCTGACCCGGGGAGCTGCCAGCAGGGGTGCTCCTGGCGGGCTCCTGCTCTGTTGAGTGGGTACCGCGTTCTGGCCTCGGAGTGGCATGAGGGTGTTTCCTTCCCTGTGCTCATGCCTGCGTGTCGTGGACGGACGGCTTAAGGGAGGCGTGCAGCTCGCTGGTCCCTGTGCTTAGGGCCGGGCCTGACGTGCTCACACGCCCGGGGGCGGGGCTTGGGTGTGGGAGAGTGGGGACTGCTGCTGTCACGGTGCTCTGGGTGCGTCGCTGGCTCCGGGAATTTGAGGCGACGGAGTGCTCCCTTTGCAGGAAGTGCGGAATTCTTCTATGTATGTCAGAAGCAAGGATGAATTCACTGTCAGGATTTTTTTTTTCAAAATTTTAAATTAAAAAAAATGTTTTGGCAGGGGAGATAGGTTTATTTAATTTGTTAATGGAGGTGCTGGGGATCGAACCCAGGACCTGGTACATGCTAGGCATGTGCTCTGCCACTGAGCTACACCCTCCCCCCATCAGATGTTTTTGATGTTAAAGTCCTTTGTAAAATAACAGTAACAATAATAATAATACCACTTTTATTCTCAAAAATGTCCTGGCTTGAACCATATGACACGGTCACCCCAGCTCTGACTTGATAATGTGATTATTCCTTCCCCCCAAGTTGTTCAGATTAATATATTCTAAAAGACAAATGGATTTATTCAGATACCGGGAAAAAAGTCCTTTGCAGAGTAGGACTCTTATCCCCGAGGCCAGCGGGAGTACTTTCATGGCCGCGGTAGAAGGGCTGTTCTGGCAGCAGGTGGCGCATGTGTGAATGCGTGTGTGAACGCAGGGCTGGTGGCAGCAGCACTGGACTCAGGAGGGTGGGGAACATATGGAGGTCCAAGTCCTCGTGGCCTTTTCCTCTTTCCTGAGCTCTCACTTCTTAATAGAGTCCCATCTTCATGAAAATCTGTGGAGAAAAAAGAGTAGAAAGTGAGCTGGTGGTAACTATTATACAAAAAAGTTAAAATTCATCCTTCTAAAGAAACTTGTTTGCTCTGCTGGTGGGACTGTCCTTGTAGCCTGGGGATCTTTAAGACAACATGGCTTGCTGGCCCTTGCAGCACCCTGGGTCCCCCAGGCCCATTGGCCTCTTGTGTTTGGTGAGGAGGGTAGAAAGGCAAGTCCCCTGTCTCCCAGTGTGTTTTTATGTTTTTACTCCTTAAAGCCTCATCCAGGTTGACCTTGGGCTCCACATGCCTGCGGACAGTGTGCCAGAGGAAGGCGCTGAGGTCGCTTGTGTCATGAGGGCTGATGGGTCTTAAAATGCAAATCCTGTTTCATCTGTATAGCTTCTTCCCTTTCCCCAGCGTGGTCTGAACCCTTTGGTGAGGGAAGAGTGAGACTAAGTGGTCATGGTGACAGTGTCGAGCCGAGCTCAGTGTGTTAGTGCTGTTACACCTGTGAGGACATGTGGCACAGTAAGAGGTGTGATGACCGGGTCGCAGAGTGGATGTCAGGTGACCACAGAATCTCGTTTGAACTTCCTGTGACTGAAGTCCAGAAGTCCCACGCTGTGCGTCTCACCCGTGCTCCTGCACCTGTACTGGATGTTTCAGGACTCGGTGGTCTTTGAGGATGTGGCCGTGGACTTCACTGTGGAGGAGTGGGCTCTGCTGGATTCTGCTCAGAAGGAGCTGTACAGAGATGTGATGCTGGAAAACTTCAGAAACCTGGCCTCAGTGGGTAAGAATGACATCGTTACTTCACTGAGTCACTTAGAGACAAGCATTTCTGGCACATCACTTGTTCCAGGACTAGGAACGTGGAAAGGGAAGACATTAACTGGTAAGGCGGACACGGTCACAGCCAGCACAGAGCTGGACTCTGATAGTTTCTCCCCATGAGGATGAGAATCTATGTATCAACTGAGTTTTTCTTGCTGTAAAGAAAGCTCCTGTTGGATCTCTAGTGGGTCTAGGTTTCATGGGGCCCTAGGTACCCAGTGAGGTCTGTTTTTGAACCTTGTGAGAATTTGACCGTGTTGATTAAAGTGCTTCCCATTTTGACCCTTTGTGCTTGTTAGTGATGAAGTCTTGACGCAGCTGAACTCCTCAGTGTGCGTTGGCTAACAGGTGCCTTCTGTCTTATTCCCTTTTTGCTTTCAGATGATGACACTCAATTTAAGGCCAATGGGTCTGTTTCTCAGCAGGGTATTTGTGGGAATAAGATACCCAAGGAACAGAAAATATCGAAGTTCACTGGAAGTGATTCCTGGGCCTCCGTCGTAGGAAGAATTTGGGAAGCACTTAGCCTTGGAGATCAGCATACAGACCAGGGGAGACATCCGAGGTGAGTTGCACTCAGGAGAGAAGGCAGTCTTCCAGGAGAGAATCTCAGTGTGTCGTGAACTGTAAAGAGCAGACGGACAAAACGCACAGAAGGCGAGAGCAGGTTTGTTTATTCATAGAGATTCTCCTAAAGATTTTTTTCCTTAACTGTGACATTGATGTTGAATGTCAGGAACAGTTGAAACCGATCAGGAGGAAAGCCCATGTTTAAGAAACGCCGTGTTTGTAATAGTTGTGGTTGAGCCCCCGCCTGGGCATTCAGTTCATTCTGCTTTAAAAGAAGTCAGGTTGAGAAGTCCATTGAAATTCGTGAAGATGGAGTCCTGGTATTTACTAATAAATCATTATCAATAACATGCTTCTCATTTTTAACAGAAATCCTGTGGTGGAGGGACTCTGTGAAAGTGCTGACCAGCGTGGGGAAGGCCTCAGTCAGCAAACTGCGGTCAGACGGTATGAATGCAGGGCAGGCGGGAACGTCTTCGCGTGCCGCTCATCCCTCAAGAGTCATGGCGCTGTTCACGCTGGACACAAGCCGTATCAGTGTCAGGACTGCGGGCAGGCCTACCGCTGTCGTTCACACCTAAGAACACACTTGAGAACCCACAATGGAGAGAGACCCTATGCCTGCAAACTGTGTGGAAAAACCTTTCCACGAACCTCTTCCCTCAACCGGCACACGAGGACTCACACTGCAGAGAAGACCTGTGAGTGTCAGCAGTGCGGGAAGGCCTTCATCGACTTTTCCAGTCTCACGAGTCACGTGAGAACTCACACTGGAGAGAAGCCCTATAAATGTAAGCACTGTGGGAAGGCCTTCAGCTATTCCTCGACCTTCCGACGACACATGATCACACACACGGGGGAGAAGCCCTACAAGTGCGCAGAGTGTGGGGACGCCTTCAGCTATTCCTCGACTTTCCGACGACACATGATCTCACACACGGGGGAGACACCACACAAGTGCACGGAGTGTGGGGAGGCCTTCAGCTACTTCTCAGCTTTCCGAAGGCACATGATCACACACACTGGAGAGAAGCCCTATGAGTGCAAACAGTGTGGGAAAACCTTCATTTATCTCCAGTCCTTCCGAAGGCATGAGAGGATTCACACTGGAGAGAAGCCCTACGAATGCAGGCAGTGCGGGAAAAGCTTCATTTACCCCCAGTCGTTCCGGAGACACGAAAGGACGCACGGTGGGGAAAAGCCCTATGAGTGTGCCCAGTGTGGGAAGGCGTTCAGCCACCCCTCCTCCTTCCGGGGCCACACGAGAGTGCACACTGGAGAGAAGCCTTATGCGTGCAGCCAGTGTGGGAAGACTTTCAACTGGCCCATATCCTTACGAAAACATATGAGGACACACACCAGAGAGAAGCCCTACGAATGTAAGCAGTGTGGGAAAGCCTTCAGTTTGCCTGCTTGCTTTCGCGAGCACGTGCGGATGCGTCCCGGAGACGAGCCGTACGAATGCAAGCTGTGTGGGAAGGCCTTCTCCTGCCACGTCTCCTTACAGAAGCACATGCGGAGGCACACCGCGGAGAAGCTTTACCAGTGCAGACAGTGTGCGAAAGCTTTCAGTTGGCCCGAACTTCTGCAGCAGCACGTGAGGACACACACGGCTGAGAAACCTTACGAATGTAAGGAATGTGGAAAAGTCTTCAAGTGGCCATCATCTCTGCCGATACATATGAGGATGCACACCGGGGAGAAGCCATATGCGTGTAAGCAGTGCGGGAAGGCCTTCAGTTGTTCCTCATCCTTAAGAAGACACGCGAGAATACACACTGCAGAGGCACGCTACCTCCGTCACGTGGGAAGTCCTCCTGGGAGTGAACTGACGCACGGTGCTTCAGAGAATTCCCGTCAGGAGAGAAACCCAAGTAAAGCTGTAAATCTGGTGTTGCCTTTGTGAGTACCTCATCCTTAAAGTGGACCCACAGGGAGTGTGTATCCAGTTCTTTTGCAAACGAACATTCAGATGAAAATTAATTGTCAAAGTCCTCAGCTCTAGTACAGTTTGCAGGTAGTGTTTTTTCTCATGGTTTAGGAAATCTAGTTTGTTGGAATCATGGGTGATTGGAAGTGTATTTTCAATATGTGAGTAGTTTAAAACCTTAGTTGTTTAAATTGCTCTCTGAGGGGTTATTGGAACAGTGACACTGTGGTACTTGGGAATTTCTTACTGGCGTGGTATGGCGGCTGCTGGATAATCGCCCGTGGTGTTGAGAGTCTTTCTTTAGGCCCAAGGAGGCTCGTTCCAGTTTTCTTATAGTCGGCAGGAATGTGTAATTACGCAGAGTATCGTGTGAATTGTTACTTTGATCGCTTCCCCTCTGCGCTGCCCTTGCTTGTGGTTGGGAATTGAAAAACAGGTTTTCACTTGAGACCCTTGTGATGTGACCACGAGACAGAGTTTGGGACTGTGTCATGTTGGCATGGGTAATGCTGGGATCTGCACTTCCCAGAACCCCTTCCCACGATCCTGCATCCAACTTTACTGGCAGCCTGTTGGCATGAGACTTGGAAGGGCGGGTGCGAAGCCATTCCCAAGCTTCTGGAGTCACAGTAAAGTATCGTGGAGAGAAGCACAGGGGCTTCCTGGGTGCCAGCTTTCAGCCCATCTGATCATTGGCTCTCCCTCTTACTATTAAGAGTATCATGAAAAGAAGTGCCAACGACTTGATTTCTGTTTTTCTCAGAGCTGCAGGCTCCCGTAAGTATCTCCGGGAGCTCCATGTGAAGGGTGCGCTCATGTGGTCAGGCACTCACAACGTGGGTTTTCCTACAAACCTGCACGAGTCCTGCAGCCTCGTTAGTGATCTCCGGTGCTACGAGCCCACTCCTCTAGACGCTAACGTGCTTTGTAAGTCTAACTTGTACAGCAAACTCCTTTTTCTCCGAACTTTCAGTGGCTCTCTGATCCTGATTCTGCCACGAGAGCTACACTATTGCAGCAAAACAAAGCGACACACGGGACTTTGTTAGCCCATCGTGCTTTGTGAAGTGCTGACTCAGTCCTACGCGAGAAACTCCTTCCTCATAGATCGGGGAGACGTCTGTTAACTCAGAACTGAATGCAGCTCCTTGATAGGTGTTTGATTGTCATGTTTGATTCTGACTCATTGCTGTGTGTTTTCTTTGCAAGCAGGATCTTTGTTTCTTAGAAACACCTTGCATACTGTGTTTTCAAGTCACTTGTACACTGTTAGCTCTTTGGGGCTGCTGGAATGAAGCACCACAACTGGGTAGCTTCAGACAACAGGAATTTTTGTCTCGCAGTTCAGGAAGCAGAAGTCCCAGGTCAGGCTGCTGGCAGGACCGCGCTTGCTCTGCAGGTCCTGGGGAGGAGGCATTCCCGCGCCCTCCCAGCGTCTGCTAGTTCACTGGCTTGAAGGAAGCGATACTGGTCTTCACACAGCCTTCCACCTGCGTGTGTCTGGCTCCTCGTGTGGGGTTCTTCTTACAAGGACGTCATACAGAGTGGCTTAGGGCCCATCCTATGCCAGTATGACCTCCTTTTAGCCCATTACACCTGCAACACCCTATTAGCAAGTAAGTTGTATTCTGCAATACTGGGCCTTCAACATGTGGCTTTAGGGGAACACAATTTGACCCATAACACTCATAAATGTTACTCTCTTTTTCATTTACTGAGAATATTTTTAAATATTCCATTGCAGTTATGGATTTCAAGTCAACCAATTCTGTTAAATTTAAGCATTGGGCATTCTGAGTCAATATTACCTGATCTGTACACGTTAAGGTATTTTTTTTATCATGTAAACGTTATTTTTTATTGTTACATACTTCAACATTTGTCATTAATGGATTGCTTATTGTTAACAGTAAAAACTGAAGTAATGGTTTTGTCAATGCTCTTCAGCCAAAACCCACTGGGCCCACACTGGTTTGATCAAAGAAAATTGGGTGTATTGAATTAAAGCAATCAGTCAGAGGTTGTTTAAAAGAATACATTTTTGGATCTGGGTTTATGTTTGGTGAGTTTAGAAGGCATAAATGAGCTACGTTAAAACTGACTGGTAAGCAAAAGCAGTCAGTCATACTGCCAAGAAGAGGGGAACGTTTAATCATTTTTGTGGTTGGGAGGTGAGCTCCAGAACATGAAGTGTCAACTTAAGTAAGGTATAGTAGGAAAGAAGCCGTATTTGACATTCTCAAACAGGAAAAAATCTAGTATTTTATAGGAAGGAAGGAAGGGTGGAAGCTTTTTGTTGTAATGATCCACAAAGCTCCAAGAGCCCACTTTACTTTTCACAGGTATCATTTCCACCCCTGTGGACTTCCAGCACTAGCCAGGGAAGGAAAAAAATGTAGCAGTGTAACACCTTAGTGTTTTAATAAAGACAGACAATATCTGAGATACCTAATTCTACAATTTTTTTCACGCTAACTTAGTCCTTCGTAGCAGTGTCAGGTTTGGAAAAATTTTATATTTGCTTAATTTTTACTGGAAACTGTTGGAAATTTTGAACACTGGAGGGCAAGTGTAATTTCTGAGAACTCATGGCACTTACACTTAGTGAATTGTACTGCATGCGTATTATAAATAATAGAAAAAAACAATAAAACCTTCGTTTGCTAAGGGAAATTTTAAACTCCTGAGTCTTGAGTCCACCCCCCCACCCTAACTTAGGATTCTTAAGAAGTGTTCAGGGACTTGGTGGGGAATGGGGGAGAAGAACTTGGGGCCAAAAATTCCATTTTGGCGAATTCAGTCTGAAGTTAGGAAACACCCACAAGGGCCACATCTTCCCTCACCTCGCATAGTAGGAGAGAAGTGAAAGGGCTCCTGGAATCTTTGAGTTTATGCCGGGTCCCTCCGGTCAGATCTCTGGGAATGCTGTGGTCTGAAACAGAAAGGCGCGCCTACATTTCTCCAAGAGCCCCTGCCTGGGGGCATCAGCGTCATGTCTTTCCGGGCCTGTCTGGAGGCCATCCCCCTTTAAAGTTGCATCAGTCAGGGTCCTGTGACTTTCTGCTGGGAGACGTCATGAGGATTCCACACTCCTGCTCGTGGAACATCGTGGCAGCCCCCCCGGGGGGCTGAGAGGTGACAGAAACAGCAGGGGCAGAACCTGCGGCAAGGGGACACAGGCCGTTGTCACAGCACCCCCACCTCCTCGTGCACATCAAGGCGCACATCAGTCTCAAGCCCTCCAGCGACGCCACAAAGGGACGTCCTGCCACGGCCCGCCCGTCGGCGCGCACGCACAAACACCGACTTCATTGTCACCACCTGAGGATGTCGGATGCAGGTGCTCCAGTCTGGCTGGAGCTCCTCACCTGGGTTTCCGCATCCTCCCCACGGCTCCTCCGGGTCTCTGGGGCGGCCACGCTGCGGCGCATGCGCACTCCCACCACGCCTGCGCGCCACGGTCTCACCCCTACGGCTTGTGGGAACTGGAGATCCTCAGAGAGGCGCGGTGGACGCCAGGAGCCCCGCCCGCAGACTCCTCCCAGCATGCAACGCGATCGCCTGTTTAAAAAGGCTGCCGGCGACTCCTCGGAGCGCATTCTTCGCAGAAGTGCGCAGGCGCGCCTGGGCGGGGCGACTCGGAGGTGGCCCACGGGAAGAGGGAAGACCTCCTCAGCGCGTCAACTTGCAAGAGACTTCTCTGTGGCCTTTAGAGGTGTGGCCCGAGCTCCTGAAGCGCCGAACCTCGGAGCCTCGGGGAGGGCCCTGGGGCCGCCCAGGACGGGTGGAGTGGGGTCTGCAGGCACGTGAGACCAACAGAGAGGGCTGCGAAGGGGACCTCAATGCAGGGCACGTGGCTGCCCTCGGACGAGACAGACCGCATTGCCGCCTGCACTGAGTTTCCAGTTGGAACGCAAAGTGAGAAAAGGTAAAAGCAGTGATGAGTGTGTTGCTGGAAGAATCCTAAGCAGCATGGGGGTGGGGGCTGGAACATCACGTCCCCAGCCATGTCGGGCCCCAGACATTGCTCCCACAGGTTACGGTCTTGTGGTTCTTAGGGAGAGAGACTCTCTGGGCTGTGCGGGTTCAGGAAGTGTGAAGTCCCTGTTCCAGGAGAAGAGGCAATGAGTCAGACCGACAGCGGATCTGATGTTGGTTAGTCCTGACGGGCGCTGGGCGTCGGGGGCTGGGGGAGTCGCAGAGGGCCTAGGCTGTGTCTCTGGGAGTGCATTCGTTTCTCTGGAGACCTCACCTTTGCCAGTGTGCGTTTGTGTGTGTGTATCTGAGTGTGTCCACATGCACGTCCCAGTGACAGTTTGTGTGATTTGGTCTGTCCGTCACGCCACCACGTGTGCATGTCTGGGAGAGTTCAGGTATTTGAATGGTGGTTCCTGTGTCCAGATGTCCATCTATCTGTCTAATCTCTCTGAAGAGAGAGCGTCACAGTTATCTGCAGAGGTTTTCCTGAGCTCCAGTGTTTCAGACTGTTCACTCCTTGTAACAGCGCGGCGCACACTGGCAGCAGTTCGGACGTCTCTAGAATTTCAAAGATGCAGAGCTTTACGCCAGTTTTGTATACCAGCAGTGGTTGCACCAGATGCTCTTGAATGGTGATTGTCAGATAAGTAAATATTTTAGGTTGTATTAATTGTTAAAGTAAAAGAACAGATGACACCAAAACAGCTCTCCAAACTGTATATAATGTGGTGTGGTTGCCACAGTGCCATCTTGTTGGTTTTTCTGTAGGACACCAAAAAGAAGCTATGCGACAAGACTGTAAACACAATTTACATTTCAGGTTGAATTTATTCAGTCTTTGGAAAAGTCTTTTAATTTTGTATCATTTCAGTAACATTTTGTTTCCAAATATTTCAAATTCATATCATCATATTTGCATAAAATAAGGAAACACAAGCACCCACTAGCCATTCCTGCATGGACTTTCTTGATCCTTTGTCAGTCTCAAGAATCCTCTTCTTTCTCTGCCCTACCAGAGCATATTGTTTCTACTTAATACATGGCATGTTTTGTCTGACATTAACTTGTGAATTGTGCAAAATTTGTAATTTATTATAACTGTAAATAACTTAACCAGATTTTTGCTTATGACATGTCACAAGAAACATCTGTTTTCATGCCCACAGGTCTGATAGTTGGCTTGGGTAGGTTATTAAAAGTGGTAGGTCTTCAAGTCTATTCTAGTTGGTGAACTGGCTCTGATCCAAGTATGTCCTTTCTGGGGCTGAAGCTGGATTGGATAGCAGCTACCTTGGGGAAGATTCCTCATGACCGATCCCTTGAGGAATAGAGGAATGCCAAATGCACAAACACATTTCAGGGTTTCTCCCATAACATTTGCTCACATAGCATTGACTTAAGCAAGTCATATGACTCGAAATCAAGGGGAGAAATAGTTACATTCTTGCTACCATGAGGACATAGCTAGATTGTTTCACAGGGGGTTGAAAAATTTGAATCAATAATGCAATTTGTCACACCATCTGAATACCCTTTCAGGAAAGAGACTGCATTATGCAGCACAATCATAGAGAATGTCCCAAAAATTCGTTTCATAATAGTTCTCCCTTGTGTATTTTTAATACTTTGAGAAACTTCAAACTTTGTAAATGTAGAATGATTTAAGAAAATCACATATGCCAATTATCTGCCTTCAACAATTTTCCGTCACTTCTTCTCTACAACACGCAGCTCCCTCTGGATAATTTTGAAGCAGTTCTCAGCATATTTCATCCTTGAAGATTTTGGGATATATATATCTATATTTAACCATAATGCCATTATCACACCTAACAATGATCAGTTATCCCTTAATGCATTCAAATATATAGGTAGTAGTGGGCAATTTCCCTGGTGGTCTACATAATTTAAAAAATTTTGCAGTTGGATTGTTGGCATTGGATCCAATAAGATCCATAATTCTAATTTATTATCTCCTTTATGTTTAAGCTATAGTCCCACATTTTCTTTGCAGTGTAATTGTTCAATGTAATAAGTCACATAGAAATTTAATACCGTGGGTTTTCTAACTGCATCTCCCTGCTGTTATTTAGCAGATAATTGGAACTCAGAGCTAGAGGTGTGACTAGGTCCAGGTCTGATACTTTGATGAGAACAATTCAGAGATTGTGTGTTTCCAGCTGGAAGTATATACATAAGTTGCATACATGAGACAAAGATGGTGTCTGTATACTGTTTAGTTACTTGTTACAGCCTAAAGGCTCAAAAGCCCCCTGGTGCCAAACTCAGGTTTTTGCACGTCTATTTGTTTTAAACAGAGTCCCAATTTTAACTGTTAAGAGCCTGCTTGCTTACCATGCCCTGTGAAGCGGCACCCAAGGGCTGCTGGCCATAAATAAGGTGATCCCTGCAGCTGTAACAGACGCAGGCGGCTGCTGCCCTTGGAGCGCTCTGACCCAAAGGCTTCCCAGAGCACCACCACTTTTCTGGTCCCCTGTGAAGCCCCTTGCGTGGGTGTTCCCTTGCATTCCTCTTCCCGGTGGTGGCTCCCTTTCCTTTGCCTCTGGACTGTCTCATGCTAGGAGGGACTTCCCCCACATGCACAGCTGTCAAAACACTGCCGGAACAGAGCTCCGGTGTGCGCCTGCCGCCTGTGCTCACGTCTTTTTCCTGGGTCAGCTGCAGAATCCCCCAAAGGTGATTTATCCTTTTGTGATATAAGCTGGTCTTGGTGACCATTACCTGGAACATTTAAAACTCTTGTGAAAAAGAGTGCATCTGTTTCCAGAAGGTGGGGCAGACCACTGACCTGAGTGGCTTCAATTAATTCTCATAGTTTCGGAGGCTAGATGCACGAAATCCATGTGTCAGCTCCCACTGACACTGGCTAGAATCCTTACTTGGTCTGAGGTTTGTGGGTTACCGTTAAAATGCAAGGACTTTTGAATGGGTTTCTAGAATGGGTTCTGGGCTGGGAATGGCCGGTACGTTAAAGAGGTTCAGAAAGTCCCAGCAGGTGAAGAGCATGGTCTCCAGGCTAGAAGGGCGTCTTCTCAGTCCTGATCCTGTCTCTACCACTTGCTAGCTTTGTGACCTGTAAGCCCTAGTTAACTCACAAAGGAGAAAAACGTGCCTACAATGTAGTTTGGAGGATTACCTCGATCTATGTTAACTGAACTAATACGTGGGAAACAAAACAGTGCCGGATAGAAACATACTGAAGCATTTGCATAGTCAGAAAGCAGAATCAGCCCTTCACAACTGGGATCTACTGGAGTGGCATTCACTCCTCAGCCGTGACCTGCTGAACAGAAACCATTTCACACAACACTGTCATCAAACAAGGACACTGGGTGATGTGTTATGGAGTAAGGCACCAGCGAGAGTTCTCCGACAAAAAAAAAAGTATCTTATGTTGCAAACGGAAGTTGTAATGGTTGGCCACATATTAAGTTAATGGTTCAGAGACTGCATTCAGCTATGAATAACAAAAAAGAGTTTGTTCCATCTGTCTGCAAGTTACCACTTTTCCATACAGAGCTGTGGAAACAGAACAGGGCAAATGCAGCCGCTCAACGCTGCAGCCGGGGAAACTGCAGCTGCAGGTCTCAGGGAGGCGTCGGGACACAGGGCCACCAGGCACTGCAGGCAGACGGTCACTGTGCAGGTCAGACCTAACACAGATATGGTAAGAGCTGGAGAGAAGAGTGTCAGAGAAGGTCACCACCAGCCACGAGGGCAGAAGCCAATGGTGCGGAGGGACATGTGGGAGCTTGCCAGAGAAATCCACACTGTAGCTTAATTAGAAATCAAACTATCTAACATCCCAACAATTACCTGTTTTTAAATAAACTTCAAAAGATCTATGGGTCCAAAAGACTTCATAATGTACATAACTTTTATATATGCAATTTGATGAAAAAACTATACACCAAAGTTCTGCAATTTGGCGGACAGGGTATGTAGCGAGTAGAACGGTGCCCACCCTCCCCCACCAAAGACACTTCCGCTCAGAACCTGTGATGTGACCTTATTTGGAAAAAGGGTCTTTGGCAACGTAGTAAGGATCTTGAGACGAGATCATCCTGGACTAGAGCGCGCCTGAACCCAAAGACAAGTCTCCTAAGAGAAAAGGATGAAACATTTGGAGGAGGAGGTGATGTTAAGATGAAGACAGAAACTGGAATCATTCGCCTACAAGCCGAGAACACCAGGGATTACTGGCAGCCGCTAGAAGTTTGTAGGGCGCATAGATCAGATTCTCCCTCAGAACCTTCCCAAGGAGCTGACCGTAAAGACACCTTGACTTCCAACTTCTAGCACCCAGAACTGGGAGAGAATCCTTCTGTTTCTTTAAGCTGCCACCTCTGCAGCCACCTGTTAGGCGGCCCTGGAAAAGTAATACTTTAAGGAATATCTCCCCATAGATGTTATTCTCCGAAAGAACTGGAGACAACGTGACAGGGACCTACTTCCAGAATAAGGCACTGATAAAGCCAACAGAATATCCAGGCCCTCTGTAAAAAAGCCTCCAGGGGTATGCAGTTTGCTGTGCACAGTAACGCGAGCCACACGGAGGCCTTCCAGCACCGCTTGCTGCCCCGGAGCCCCGTCCTGTGTGCGCCGGCATGTGCTTACGGGTACGGGGCTACGGAGGGCTTCCCCACGCCGCTGCCGTTCTGTTTCTCCCCAGCGTGAATTCCCTCGTGTCTCTGCAAGGGCGAAAGCCTACTGAAGGCTTTACCACATTCCTCGCACGCACAAGGTTTCTCTCTGCTGTGAGTCCTCAAATGTCCTCGAAAAGACGATGACCAGCTGAACGCTTTCCCACACTGCTGACACACGTAGGGCTGCTCTCCGGTGTGAACTCGCACATGTGTTCTGAAGTACGAAGGGCTGCTGAAGGCTTTCCCACATGCGTTACGTGCGTACAGCTTCTCGCCAGTGTGAGTTCGCAGATGCCCCTTAAAGGACGAAGGAGAACTGAAAGCTTTTCCACACTGTCTACGTTCGTAAGGCTTTTCTCCCGAGTGTGTCCTCAGGTGGATCCTGAGGTCTGAGGGCCAGCTGTAGGCTTTCCCACACTCCATGTATCTGTAGGCTTTCTCTCCAGTGTGCATCCTTGCGTGGATGAGCAGGTAAAAAGAACGGAGGAAGGCTTTTCCACACTCCTTACATTCATAGACTCTCTCTGCACCGTGAACCTTCACGTGTTTTCTAAGAGAAGAGAAGGCTTTCTTACATTCTTTACAAGCATAGGGTTTCTCGACCAAATGAGTTTCTCTGTGCGTCCAGAGGTTTGAGGGCGATCTGAAGGGTTTCCCGCACTTCTCACACTCATAAGGCTTCTCTCCAGTGTGAGTTCTTACATGGACTCTGAGTTTGGAGAAATATATAAAGGCTTTTCCACATGCTTTACACGCATAGGGTTTTTCCTTCAGTGTGAGCTCTTATGTGTGCCCTGAAGGATGAGTAACAACTAAAAGTTCTCCCACATTCCTTACATCGATAGGGCTTTCGTCCACGCTGAGGCAATGCTGTGGGAGCCTGGAAGCAAGGAAGAATCCACAGTGGCTTTTTCAGATGAAGAAGCCATGAGTTTGCAAGCTTGCTGTACCCACAGGACTGCACCCCCGCAGGAGGCCTCTCCTGCACAGGAAGCCTGGCAATCCGGTTGGCTTCTCCACGCGCGCCACCATCACGATTTTCTGGGGGCCTCTCCACCATATGCCATCTGTTAAAAACGGTTAACAGGAATAGATTCGTGAATGATTCAGCGTGGCTTTTCATGATTAATATGATTACATTTTTACCATTTTCAGTGAATGTGTATGTTTCTTGCCCTGAAAGAAGTGTTTCAAAGTGATAAAAGCTGAATGCTCTGACAGAGGGCTCGACGCCGGGTACCACTTTGTGTTTTCCTATATGGGATTTTGTTTCCTGATAATTGTTTACAGCTGACCTAAGCCTCAAACAGTCCACAAACATCTGTGTCACTTTTACAAACCTGTCCTGTGAAGCTCTGTGACTGGAAGGCCTGACACGTGTCTGCACACACAGACACACGTGCACACTGATGTCTCAGCTCTCTCTCCTGAGACCTGCTTCCTCCAGTGTGTGTGTGTCACTCACCACAGACGTGGTCCCTGGTTCCTGCGCTGACCTTCAGTGCTATGGCATCCCCAGTTTTCTCCTAAAATGAAGAATCAGCAGTCATTTCTTCTGAAACTATATTCTGTTCACTTCATAGTTCTTCCCTCAACATCCACTGTAGAGGATCTGACCGATTTTAATTTGAGTGCCATAATATCAAACAGCAACAAATTTACTCTCTTTGGAAAGAACCGGTGGGATGAGGGCAAGAAAAAAGTAGGAAACATGTACATTTCAAGAGTGATCCAAAAGATAAACAAGTTATACAGGGAAAATGCACTTTTGAGCAAAACAGGAGTTGCAGGAGTTTTGGCGACTTGGACAATAATACGGGTAAGAGGCCACAATGGTGGGCAGTTTCCTGGAAACACTAGCACGAGGATTGAGACTTCTGGTGACGTAAGGGCCCTACTGTCAGGAGGCAACCCAGGAAGGAACTGGGCCAGAGGCACCTGCCCAGATACTAACTTTAGAAGCAGGAATACGGAAGGGCTTCAGCGTGGACAAGGACATTTGTGAGGATGGATGAGAAGTTAAAAAAAGGAAGCTGAGGAATCTGTGAAGGTCAAGCAAGAAGAGTAAGAGGCACTCTGACTCAGTAAGAAGTCAGTGCTCTTTCTAAGGAATGTTTCCAGACATAAGGCTCCCCCACCAGGGCTGCTCCTCCTAAGAAACAGTTACAGCCCTCACAGAGGCTTGAAACATCGCATGAGAGAGTAGCAGGTCTCATACATACACAAGAAAGCTGTCCCACTGTGGGCTCCACGGTAACGTGACCCTGTCTACCTTCCTCAGCAGTAGGTTCCCACCGTTCAGCCCAAGTCCTGAAACCCGCTCAGCAGCTTGGGGATACTTGCGCTCTGCAGAGGACGTGAAGGATCGGTGCCCCTCACCTACGGAGGCCAGGTTCCTGAAGGTCTCCAGCATGACATCTCTGTAGAGGCTCCTCTGAGCCACATCCAGCAAAGCCCACTCCTCTGGGCTGAAGGCCACAGCCACATCCTCCAAGACCTCTGAGCCCTGAAACACCCAGCAAGTTCTGGCTTAACACAGTACCATTCTCCACGCGCGCGCAGGAGGGAGGCGGGCTGACGGCACCGGGGAACTGGGACTCAGTTCAGAGCAAGTTCCCGCATGGGCCTGTGGTCTCCCACCAACCCCAGGGCTCTGTCACCACGTCTCTCCCCTCGGTCAGCGCCAGTTTCCTCAGGGCCGCCAGCCTGCACCTTAGATTTGTCAGCATCTCGGTGAACTCTTCTAAGTGTGACTCTGGCCACTTCCATTCATCTCCTCCATCTGAAGGGTCCAGAACAGTCCACACATTGGAGAAAATTAAAGAAATATTATACAAATAAAGCAATTATTTTGGTTTTGAAAACATCAGTTCCTTTTCATGAAAACAATTTTTGTCTCCTCCTTCACGGCCCACTACAGGCCTCAGCACGGTATGAAGAAGCCAAGGTCAGACGTGGATGAGCTTGTAATGGATGAAAACACAGTGAGGGTCTGGGAGTACTTCCTGCTTTTCCCTCAACAACAATTTGATTCTCAAGAGGCCTGGTTATGTCCCACCTTCAACCCAGGCCCTGAGATGGATAAGTTTCCTTGAAAAACTCCAATCCATCATGAACTGGAAAGTCCACCTGGTGGGACAAGAATATTCTTTACGAGAAGCATTAATACTCCCTTGCATGTCTCCTGTCCTCGTATAAAACAGCAGCCTTCCCTTTCTGGACACGCTCTGCAGGGGACAGGCAGTGCACGGACAAGTGGGAGCCCAGGCGAGACAGAGGGTGCCTGAGACCTCAGCCCTCAGCACGGCGCCTGTACGCGGGGCCACCGTGTGGAGTTACCAGTGATCTCACTTACGGGGGACGTCACACAGGGGACAGCTCTTCCTCTACACACAGACTGACATCACAAGATGCCAGGACAGCCTTGCCTCCCCCAGGAAAGAGTGCCCTGGTCCTTCCTGCCTGTGAAGAGGCAGTTAGGGGCCCCGGTGTGGAAGTGAATTAACTGAAGCCCAGAAGGGTATGGCTGTGAATCTGCCCAGATCATAAAACGGATAAAGGGACCGGGCAGCACCTTCCTCCAAAGGACATCCGCTCGCACTGAAATCCCAGAGGCGCCGACCTCTACACCAGCCCCCCGGGGGCTCCACACAACAGTCAGCCCCGCGCCCCTGGGCAGGCGGGCAGGCATGACTGCCCAACCCCTGAGCGTGGAATCCGGTGGCTCCCAGCGTCCCCCACAAGCCTGGCTTTTGAGAAAGTGAATCGAATCATTCCATCGGCTTCTACACACAGAGGCGCGAACACAGGCTGCCCCACTGCAATGCGGGTGCTGCGCTTTGCCCGCAGATCAAACAGCTGCAGAACTAGAATGCTCCAGGCTGGGGACACTCTCGTGAGGCTGTAAGTCAAGTCAGCTGCTCCGGCACCCCTAATTACTCCTGTACACTGGTATCTAGCCCTGTCTCAGAACAAACTGTTGCCCACAGACAGTGTTCAGCTAACTCTTCCACTGCTGTGTGTCAGGTGCCATTTCAAAGCCCTCACGGCACCTGACAGCCTCACAACTATGTCAATAACAAAACGCACTATTTGAGCATCTGTGACGTTGAAGTATTCTGCATACAGAGTTCCACACAAGTTCTTTAGTTTCTCATGATAAATCTCCGAAGTAGGTATCACTACAGTCAGTGTTAGCAGAGGAAACTCCAGGGGACAGTCAGTTAACTTGCTCAGTGTGGCCCAATTAGAATGTCATACGTAGGTCTGCCTGCTTTCAAAGCCTAAACGCCTACTAGCTGCATTTTTGTACACGTGTTACACAACGATCATGTGTGTTACTCCTCAACAGGAGTAACGTGACCTAGAGCAGAGATGAGCAAGCTTTGTCTATAGAGGTAGTCATACTGAAATTGTAATAATATTTTTCATTTTGCCCAGTAAATAAAAATATCATTTCAGTATGTAACCAACATAATTGGGTTGAGATATTCTGTATTACCTGTGTCATACTAAGTGCTACGCGTCTGGTATGGATTTCACACATGCAACCAACTCAATTTTTGTTATTTTTGCGGGGATGTATCTTCCAGCTCAATTTTGATAGCTGTATTTCAAGCTCAACAGCTACATGAGGCCAGGGGTACTGTAGGGGGCAGTGCAGACCTACACCTGCCTGTCTGCTGGAATATTGTAGGAATGCAAGACTGTTTAAAAATTAGTGCATTTTATCATACTAATCGAAAACGTATAAAAATCATAATTCATGTCCTTAGATCCAAAACAGTGACATATTACTATCGGTAATGGATATCAAAAATTGGGGCAGGGCAGTAATTAGGTTTGTTTATTTATTAACAGAGGTGCTGGGGATTGAACCCAGGATCTTGTGCATGCTAAGCAGGCGCTCTACTATTGAGCTATAGCGTCCCCCACTAGATATCAAAATTTAATATGCTGGGAGGAACTCAGCTAACTGGGGAAGACGGTGCATAAAAACACTTACTACAACATTGAAAGAAAAATCTGAAATAGTGAAACAGCTCTCTTGTCAAGAAGACAAGACAGAGTACATTCTTCTGCATTTGACTGGAGGTCCTAGTGAATCATTAAAAAAGAAAAAGAAAGGTAAAATGACATGACAAGAAAAAAGCTGAAATATTTGCAGGTAAGATACTGCAGGTAACCTTTAAAAAAATGTACAGATGAATAATTAAAATCTATACTTGCACCTAAGAAGGATAGTAAGAACGATGCTCCAAAATGAGTTTACTTCTATGTACCAAGAACAGTATTTTTTTTAAGATACCATTTAAATCAGCATCAATATTAGCTGCAGAGTGACAAGGTTTCAGTAAAACATTTATAACAAAAACAATGAAACATTGTTAGACAAACCAAGACCGTGGATGCGAGCGCCCGACACTGTAAAGGCTGCGGATCCACCCTCGAATGCATCTAAAGGTCAGTGTAATCCCAACGCATTCTTTATACCTGAAGTGCTTGCTGATTCTAACCCTAGTGTTTTACACGTAAGAAGCGCAACCCCACGGGCATCACAATGCATCCAACTCGTAACAGATACCCAGTGTGTAATATGTGCTGGACCCTCTCCCCTGTGCTTGCGATAAAGCAATGAGAAACTACAACATTCCCTAGTTTTAAAGCCTTAACAGTCTACCCGCTTGGTTAGTCAGACTGAAAGGAAAAACCCGGGGGGGTGGACGCAAGGACCCTACGCCGCGACCGAGGGCGGAGACTCGGGCCAGGACCCCGGGGCAGGGGCGGGGAGACCCGGGCCCACGTCAGCTTCCAGCCGGTTCCGGCCGGTTCGAGCCAGCCCCCCTGGTCTCCGGCCCCAGCCCGCGCACTCACCATCTCCGCCCCGCGCCAGAGCTTCCCGGACGTCCCCCCGGCGGCCCGGACAGGTGAGAGCGACGGAGCCGGTACACCTGGTGCCGCTCGGGGAAGCTGCGCACGAGCGCCACCGCCGGTCGAGAGTGACGTTCACACGGGCTGGGAGCGGGCCCGCCCCTGGCCCTGATTGGACTGTGCTCCGGATCCCCGCGCCCTGATTGGGCAGTTCTCCAGGCACTCCTTTCACAGGAATTGAGATTGGATCGTTTCCAGAGGCCCGCACTCCGATTGGACAGTGCTTCGGGCACCGCCTTTGGAGCCTCAGGATAGAGCTATCGGCCCCGGCCCCCCTGATTGGGCGACTTGCGCCTCTGCAGCGCCTCTCCTTGAGAGATGGGCGCGGGCGGAGATGACTTCACTTAACAGGGTGGAAACGTGGGTTCTCGGCTTCTGCCCTCTCCTTGCCCCGCGGGGAAACTGAGTCAGGGCTTCCGGCCCAGGAGGAGGACAAGGAGAGGAGGCCGAGCTGCGGGCGGGCCGCCCACCCGGGAACAAATTCTGCTCGGAGTCCACGTCCCGTGCAGGAGGGTCCGGGTCCCGAGGAGGAGGCCGGGCAAGGAAGGGCTGAAGCCGAGAATGCTCACTTCCGCCTGGCATAGGCCCCTGACCAATATCCCTGCCTGTCAGTCAGTCCACGGGGCTATAACAGAGTCCAATCAGGGGAGACAGGTATAATAAGAAAGGCTGGGGAGGGGCCTGGAGAACTGCCCAATCAAGGGACAGGGGTGGTGAACAACTGTTCAATCAGGCCCGAAGTTTGCCGAGTATTATCCATTTAGCGGTCTCAATATGGTGAGTGACTGGAGTACCGTCCAATCAGAGCGCCGACTCTCGAAAAACCATCCAATCAGGGCTTCCTGGGCAGGGTCTGGTGATCTTAATAAGGGGCGCTGGGGGCGGGTTTCGGAGTGCTACACGCCCCGAAGACGCTGGTGGAGGAGTGTCCAGTCGGAGGGCGGAGGCGCGGAGCTCCCTCCCGTCAGGGCCGGCGACGGACGCGCTCCCAGCCCGCGCCGGCGACCC